TCTGCTCGTGGCCTCTGCAATGACGGTTAATGGCTTAATGTTAAGCAACGAAAAACTTACCCTCCTTACCACATTACGAATTAGGTGTACGCGACACAAAATGTGGTGGGAATTGGGATACACCTGCATAATGGCAGCAGCTATTACAGGTGAGTCATCTGTCACAATGCCTACCACCTCTCGATTGTTAGTTGATCGGTGGAAGAACGACAGGAATTGAGCAAGTAAACTGGATGTTTCGCAACTTATGAATGCAATACAAACAGGTATTGCCATGAAATTCATATCAAGTGCTACAACCTGATACAAATATAAATTTTCCTTATTGGTTTTGTAGGTCCCATCAAAACCAACAACATCAAAAAATCGAGTTGATAAATTCATTTGATCTGCTGTTGTGAAGAAGAAATACAACAGACAATTATCTCCATCTAAGTCGTATTCACAAAGGCCACCAAGCGACATGATGTGATCTTTCAAGTTGGAGTAATCACCTAAGGTTGACAATTTAAATAGGTACATTGCTTACCAGGGAGGTTGGCTTGTGAGAAGAACACTTTGTGGCGCATATTAAAAACATTTTGAGCATTGATGCGCTTTCTATAAGATTGGTAAACAAAGTGCATAATATTGAATGCTGCTGTCCCAGATATCGAAAGTGGTCTCTGTTGTGGATGCGAAGGATAGACCAATAATTATCATGTTAAGTCCAATGGTGTCCTTGGACTTTAAATGGACATTTCCTACTGGTCGATATCTGTCCACATGTTGAATATGGTACAAAATGTTGTTTTCTATTTTTATGGTACGATGTGGTATGTTTGGTTAGTATATAAATAGAGTATGTCTGAAATACAATGATTCATAACTCAGAGGCTGAGATTTGTGTTCTGGACTCAACTGGCTGGGATAGACAGGGAATCGGGACCAATCGTAACTCTAGGTTGTCCATTACGTTCGCACGTGTTTACGTGTCATTGAATCGGTCGATAAATACGCTGCTCTCTAGTTTTTCAGTCAAGGACACAACAATTAGCACAGGGTAAAAAGCAACCACAACCTAAAGTCATAACAGTCTCACTGTTTCAAATTCAACCTCCGTTAACCTGCGCATCCAATAATTACTTTGGTACCTTAGGGGATTGCACTCGTGATTGTGATGCACATTTCCACAAACAACAGTCCAGTAACCTTCAATAAACTTATTAAAGATGAAGGAAGGAGATTGAGTGTTCACGGTAGTCCTTAATGAAAGATTATAATAACACTAATCAAATTACCTCGTTCGTCTACTCGGCTGTGAGGAACCGCTAGATGTTCCACGGCCATTTCTCCAACATACGAATCTAATATACGGCTTACGATCTCTATGGAAATGAGAATCCCTCACCACATAATGGCAGTACGTAGTTGTTTCATAAGTTCTAATAGCGCTCTTCAACGCTTCAAGAGATTGGAACGATACGAGATACAATGTGCTCAAGAATAGGTTATCGGTTTCTGTGACAACGTGAGGAACGACAGAGTTCGTGCTTTGCATGTTACTACCGTTCATAATTGGAAGAAAATATACTCTGTCGTCAAGTCCTGACACACTATATCGATTTTAAAAAGTAAACGACCAATTATAACGAACTTAAAACTAGCTATTTCATTGGACGAAACAGAATGAAAATTATTGGAAGATGGGGATGGAAAAAAATTCCTCTCAAAAAAATACAAAAATGGCTGTGCAGTTATTGTTAGCCATATTTGAGCGAACAATAGTTTTCAATAACTTCATCATCAGGCTCGACAGTTTTAAGTCCATAATTTTAATATTTAACAAAGGCAAAAAAATAAGAAATGGTATTGATGAATTTGACAATTTTATGTGTTAACAATGGTGAACGTTTACATCTGTTAAGATATATATATATATACACTTACAAATTGTAATATTTTCAAATTAGAAAGGTCATTCACTAAAGGTCTGGATGATTTGCAGTGAACACTTTACTGCACAATAAGTAGAATAGCATTCGAGCAAAATTGAAAATGCAAAAAATTTTGTGTGAGATAATAATAACAATTATTATTATTATTATATTGTTGTGTGAATATATGTAATAAGGTGGGTGTTATCAAGGTAATTACGATCAAGGAATTGGGAATGATGGATGTGAAGATTAAAATATAGATAATGACAAATAATGATCATAATGAAAATAAATAGTAATGACATTTTAAATGTTCATTGATACAGTTGACCTTATTCATATTTATACGTTTAATGTCGATAGATATTTGTTGAGTCAGACGATGTAGGCTTGTTCATTTACACTTCATGAAACTAATATTTCAAATGATTGTCAAAAATGGTTACATTCGTAATGTCTAGATATTTCAGGTTTCATATTACGGTTAATAATATTCACACATGACTGCTTAAACACACTAGACAAAAAAATTAATCTTAAAATTCAGAAATACGAAGAATGTACCCGTGAAAACAATAAATCGTTTCAATGGATTTTTAAAATAACCGTATTAAAATCTAACGTTTTCTAATTCTTATTAAGAAGGACTATTTACCAAATAACCCATTAATAAATATTATATGCCTATTTCGGAGAAATTATTACTTCTTTGATATACCGTCAAAGTCGCTTCATTAACCGATGGTTTACGGTTCGTTCGCCTGATTTATACATTTCGTAATCAGTAATTTATCATGATGATTTATTGATATGTTGATTTCTTTTTCCGATTAACATACTATGTGTTACTAAAAAACGTATGCACACACTTTGGTGATAATTTGTTTATTAATTTGGTATTCAACATTTGACTACTGACATCATTCAGTAATCACTATTATCAAATATTCAAACCGGTTTTCAGTTCCTTTTTCCACAACTTTCAATGTGATACATATAATTATTACTGTCGAGATAACTAACGACTTCAATTGAACGTTGAAATTAAATTACTTGATCGGAAAGCAAAAATTTATCCCGATACACATTCACTAACAGTAGTATTGCATGGTAGTGGAATTATGTTGGTGTCTTTTTCTTCTAAATTCTAAATTTTTTTCAAGACTAAGATTACACAAAAAGAATTATTCATTGTCGTTAAATTTCAAATGTAAAAATGCAAATTCTGACGTCCAATCACAGCACTTGATGCCATTTCGATTTCAACTAATCAGATTACAAAGATGAACAGTTTACGACCGATTACAAAATTATTAAAGGTGACAAAATGTTTGTTCATTATCACTTGAGCACACACTTGAAAAACAAGTACACCAATCACCGACCCCTACATTTTTTTTCACACCCTACAATTTCTAAGAAATGGGTGGTAGGAAACCATAATTGCCATCCATTGAATGTCAACCTCGATTGTTGATTGCTGTTGGTTTTTGGTGTGGAAGTATATTTACCTTCTGGTCAGGCTAATCATGTGTTATTGATCTGAGTTCTGTTGAAGTCCTTTAGAATAGACACTGGGAGGGGATCTAGTGTAAATATTCGTCTAAGGCAAATTAACGTCCCATTCATGTAAACATGAAAAACCGAGAGTTATAACAATAACAATAACTTTTTATTTGATAAATAAATAAATATTGAGATCATAAGTTTCAAATTATCACCATATGTACAAGGTAATCTATGGCTTTTGATCAAAATAACTATACGTTTAGAATTCACAATCAACTTGACTCAAAGCACTTATTACTTACTTATGCCTGTTACTCCCAATGAAGCATAGACCGCCAACCAGCATTCCCAACCCACTCTGTCGTGGGCCTACCTTTCCAGTTCTATCCAACTGTTGTTCATTCTTCTCATATCTGTCTCCATTTCTCGGCGCAATATGTTCTTTGGTTTTCCTTTTCTCCTTTGGCCTTGAGGATTCCAAATGAGAGCTTCCCTTGTGATGCAGTTGGGTGCTTTACTCAATATGTGTCCTATCCACTTCCAGCGCTTCTTCCTGATTTCTTCCTCCACTGGAATCTGGTTTGTTCTCTCCCATAGTAGATTGTAATTAGTAGTATCTGGCCAACGAATCCAAAGTATTTTGCACAGACGACTGTTGATAAACACTTGTATCTTCTGGATGATGGCTTTCGTACTTCTCCAAGTTTCCCCTCCATACAGTAAAACTGTCTTGACATTTGTAATGAAAGTTCTGACCTTGCTGTTGAATGACAGTTGTTTTGAGTTCCAGATGTTCTTCAGTTGTAAATATGCTGCTGCTTTTCCGACCCGCGCCTTCACAACGACATCGGATCCACCGTGTTCATCAATGATGCTGCCCAGATATGTAAAGGTTTTTACATCTTCCACAGCTTCTTCGTTAAGTGTGATTTGATTGGCAATGCACTTAAGTTAACAATTTATTTAATTTAGGTTTATGGTTGAGTTGAAATGATAATTTTAAATAGCTTAAACGAAAAAATCTTTTAAAGACTGATGCTTTCCAAGTCAATATACGACTTAAGGCTTTTTTGGGTCTTAACAAATACTTCTTGAGGAAAGAGGATTGTAGGTGTGGCTTCACTGAGATTGTGATCATTTTTGTACATAATTGTAAGCTTATATCATCAGATGGTCCAAAAGTTGAAAAAATCCTCTAGTTAAATAAATATGATTTGAAAATATGGTTAAGGCATGATATGTGATATAATCTACTGTACGATCCGCTTCGCTTTTCTTGTCCAGTAATTTAACTAAATTTGAAATTGCAGACCATTGCTTGTCAAGTCAGCAATCTAAGAGAAACTCTTTCGTCGTGAGATCTAAAGATCGTGGGTTCGATGTCTGACAAAGTTGTGAGTCTGCATTTCTAGAGAGTACCATACCTGCACGAAGCACCTATTTATTGACCCCTGGTATTTTCGGTTGTCTAATTAGTCATTCCGTGATGTAAACTGAAAATCGAGAGAGCTTTTGGAACTTTGCGTACCAGCGTTTCTTAATTACAACCAAAGAATGTGACAGATTACTTACGTTCCACTGTTGTTGTACTTGAAATATGCAATCCATTCGTCCCCTGTTTTGGCCAAGCGACTGGCAACCATACCACGTATAAATGTGAATACAGAATTTCTACTACCATTTCGAACAATATTCCATAATGAATCATTATATACATTATTGGTAGTTTCGGTAATAGTCTGGTATACAAATAAAAATCATAGCTTCCTTTTTTATTGAAGACTGATGTTAAATTGTGAGACAACATTTTACAAAAATATGAAAGATACTTCTTTCACAATCAGTTATATAACTAGTTTTTTAAATCATTTTATGATGTTAAACAGATTGTACAAAAATACCTCGATAAAACAATAGCATAAATCACTTCCCCATTAATTGCAAATATGATGATTTCCTGGTAGATAAAATATTAGTATACGTAATTAGCTACAACCATTAATTGCATGACAACTGAGTATACTGACACAAACTGTAAGTTAAGACTCATCGGTTTAAACTCTAGAGAGTTAATCAGTTTCAACAAATCACCTCTAATTCAACGGATGTGAATTAGTATTACTGTTAAGAACTTCACTGTATCACAGTGTATATGTTTATGTAGTTATAGACTATTCAAAAAAGAATAGATTTATTTCATTGAAATTTTTTTAAACGAACAGCGATCATAGTGAAAACTTAAAATATTCGGATTAATATTGATGATGAGGTAGCTTATCATACAGAAAAAACGTTGAGCTTATAAAAGATATTTATAGTATTGTCCAAACTCAAAAAAAAAAGAATATAAACTGATATGGTAAGCCAATTAGAAGTAGGCAAATGAGGTCAATCGGAAGATCTGAGGAACAGATGCATATCATTGGCTAAGAAATAGGGTGACTTTTTAAGGGGTAAAGACGCATATATAAAAATGAGTATTTGAATATTTCATTCAGAAACCCAATATACTTTCTCATCCACTCTTGTGTTCTCGTTCAAATGGTCAGGTGGTGGTTGGGGTTAGTGCGTAGCACGTAATGTGTCAGTATCGGATCTCGGACACCACCCATCAAAATATAAACAATTTTCTTTCAGAATTTAACAATATTGAAGAACAGTGATCTACGCAAGCAGTTTAAACACAGTGGATATACGAAGTGGTTGTTCACCAAAATTATTCTTCCAAGGATTCAAATATAGACCAGTACTCTCTGGATCGCAGTGGTAGTAATGTTCTTATTACTCTTTGATAACAATTAATTTGATGTGAGGCTGCTGACTTCGAAATCATGTGGGGTCATTGTACACACTACTTACTTATGCCTGTTACCCTCGTGGAGAAGCATAGGCCACCCATCATCACTCTCCATCCAACTCTATTCTGGCCGATCATCTGCAGTTGCTATTCATACTTTCCATATCTGCTTTCAATTCTCGACACAGTGTGTTCTTCGGCCTTCCTCCCTTCCATTTCCCTTCAGGGTTCCAAGTTAGCGATTGCTTCGTGATGCTCTTCAATTGTAGGAATGCGGAACTCGCTTTGCTAATCCTCGCTTTTACTTCTGCATCTGATCCTTCTTGTTCATTGATGATGCTGACCAGCTACGTGAAAGATTCCACATCTTCCAGAGTTTCTCCATTAAGTATGATTGCGTTGGTGTTCTCTGTGTTGTATTTGAGGATCTTGGTTTTTCCATTGCGTATGTTTCGGCCTACTGATGCAGAGACTGATGCTACTCTAGTTGTCTACATCTGCATTTGTCCATGTGTATGAGATAGAAGGGCCAGGTCATATGCGAAGTTCAAATCGTCTAATTGGTTCTGAGCTGTCCATTGTATGCCATGTTTTCCCTCAGATGTGTAGGTTTTCATAATCCAGTCAACCACCAGAAGAAAGAGAGATAAAGTGAGAGTAGACAGTCTTGTCTGACTTCTTTCCTCACTGGGAATCACTGTAGACATACTGTCGAAAAAAAATTAGACAAGAATGAAACATCTGCTTGATGTTTCTTTTTTTCATATTTCAAGTACCATTAAATCACAATAAAGACTGTTCTCAGAACAACAAGACATTCTTGATTAAAATATTAACTTACGAGATTTGCACTTGTCAAGTAGAAATCATCAACTGAACTGGTAAATGTTGGATATGAAGAAAATGTTATTGCAAAACCAGGAATTTTCTGAGAATCTAAAAATTAAAATACAATAGCTATTTACATCATTTCTAAACTACCTGATTACATGTTATAGATTACAATTCAATGTAATTTGACATTTTATATGTTAATACTTGTTAATCACTGAGTTCATTCTTTCATTTGTATAGTTCAGTGTTAAGTGTCCTTTAGAATGAGTTATAGCTTTCTGAAAATGTATAATACTTAAACAATACGTAAGTTTATATAAATATATAAAAGTTGAAATAAGTATGTTTAGGCTGGATTTTCAATGAGGTAAATAGAATGTCATCCAATTTTTATATTAAGCATATTTAGTTTACAACTGGTGGGAATGAGTAACATTTGAACTTTTATATTGATTACTATGTGAATGTACTTTATAAAAGTAAGTTTTAATAAGTTTGCTTATTAGTTTCAAATCAATCACATAAAATTAAATTCTATAATTATTAAATATTACAATTTGAAACAAACATTAAATTTCAATAATCCAGTCATATATAGAAACAAAAAAGAAATTAATAGTTTATATTAACATTAATTAACAACTAAGTAATAAATCGTGTCGTGAAATCTAGTTTTTAGTATTAAACGAACCAGAGCGATCAAGTTGGAATATGCTCATTAGTCTGAATAACTCAATATGGTGATTCATTGTATTTAGTCTTAGGTAACTAAAGACAAGAGACAGACAGTCCTGAATCAATGTTTCGTGGAAAGTAGCACTCATTAGAAGACATAAATGTAATACTGAAGAAATTAGTACCCCTTGTTAAGATCAAGTCCTCGCCACAGCCACTGGACTTGCCAGTTAGCGATTCTTCAGTAAATGACCAAATGAACGACCCAGATTTTTATTGTAATGACGAGTTACTTAAACAAGTGGTCATGATTACTACTGAGAGAATAATCAGTGTTTATTTCATTGATTTAAACACATAAATATTGGTACAAGGAGACACTGAATACATATGTGCCACACTTCATCATTAGATTAATATGAGGGCTTGAATAGTGCTCGGGTGCCCAGACCGAAACAGGTGGTTTTCTTAAGGGACCAATCCCCGAGCCTCTGACCTAAATCCACAATGTAGAGGAGATGCAGTCCCATAGCAGCTGGTGACCAACAATAGACTCATACGCCATTTGTTCCCTCAGGATCCTGGAGTCCATGTGCACCATTAGTCTGGAATCAGGGTTTTCCAACTCCGATAGGCGGATCATCATCTACCAACCCGGTTAAAGAGCCGGACATTCGCTTTTAGTCCTCTAAAATTCATAAACAGTAATGCCCCGAGAAGTCAGTGACTAAAACTTCTCTGGTAGTGGCTGTATACGCATGGTTATAAGAAAGCATTTCGAAAGGAAGAGCAGACTATCTCCGCTCTCGGCCGTACCAGGCCATTTGGAGGCAATGCAGGAACAATAATAATCAGTGAAAAAAATTTCAGTCAACATACCTGTACGATTGACAGTTTTCCATGGAAAGTTGTAATGTTTCAATACACGCAGCATAATACTGTATGTTGACCATGTGACATGCGATAAATAGACATTATTATCAACTATTTTAATTAGTGCTGAACACGATGGACTAGCGATAAATGGGTGTCCCATTTTGTTTTTGCCTTTCTTTAATGTAAGAACCGATAAGGCACTAACTAAGTCACCAAGATCCCCGTTGAGTTGTAGTAAACTATAAAATTAAAATTTAACGTGACGTTACAAATATGAATTAATAATACTGAATAAATTTTGTTAAAAAAACCACTATGTAAAACTGTAGGTTATGTAACGAATTCATTGAAATGAAAAGGAAGAAAGATACAATACTAAAAGAACAATCACACCTACTTCTGGAAATAACATTCTCGTCGTTTACATTTTTGAGCATTGATCTCATTCAAGGAGTTCCACCTATTGATTTAAAATACATAGAAGATATATTCCTGTTTGGTGAAGATGCTGATAGAATGCAGAGTCTTTGGGTAGCACTGGGCAACAATGTCAGAATGTTTGGGATGCGATTCTCCCCTTCTAAATGCGAATAGTTGCTTAAGGACTGGCCTACCTCAACACCTGAACTAAAGATAGGGAGTAAAGTAGTCGAACGCATCTACAACTTCACTTATCTTGGAAGTATGATCAGCACTAATGGGTTGGTGTCTGACCAAATCTCTGCACGGATTCAGAAAAATCGTTTGGCTTTTGCCAACATACGTCACCTGTGATGAAGGTGAGATATCCGTCTACCAATCAAGGGACGAGTATACTGCGCAGCAGTTCATTTTGTTCTACCTTACGGTTGAACTTCTACCGGGAGGTTCACTTGTTGACTTAGAATATGCTGATGATATAGTTTTATTTGGTGAAGACGCTGACAAAATGCAGAGTCTTCTGACCACTCTAAGCAACAATGCAAGCATGTTCGGGATGCGATTCTCTCCCTCGAAAAGCAAAATGTTGCTTCAGGATTGGGTTACATCGACACCCGAACTAGTGATAGGGAGTGAAGTATCTGAGCGTGTCCATCGCTTCACTTATCTTGGAAGTCTCACCAGCCCTTGTGGTCTGGTGTGTGAAAAAATCTCAGCACGGGTACAGAAGGCTCGACTAGCTTTTGCTAACTTGCTTCATTTAAGGCGTAGACGAGATATCCGTCTATCAACCAAAGGACGGGTTTACTGCGCAGCAGTTCGTTTCGTCCTGCTTTATGGAAGTGAAACATGGCCGGTAAGACTAGAGTATATTCGTAAGTTACTAGTATTCGACTACAGATGTCTTCAAAACATTGCTCGTATATCATGGGACCATCGAGTAAGTAACACAGTTGTTAGGAAACGGGTACTAGGTAAGGATGGCAAATCAATTGATGAAGTAGTGAAACTTCATCAGTTGAGATGGCTGGGACACGTGTTACGTATGCCAAACGACCGACTGCCTCGACGTGCGATGTTCAGTGGTATGGGAGTAGATTGGAAGAAGGCTAGGGGCGGCCAGACCAAAACATGGCACAAATCCATGAAGTCACTGACAAGTGGACTGAGTCATGTCGGTAGGTGTAGACTACTTGGTTGGGGACCGCGAGATGATAGCAACCGATGGTTAGAGACCCTGAATGACATGGCTCAAAATCGTTTGCAACGGCGCAGGTGCATCCACTTTCTATGTTCTCCCAAATTCTAATCTTCTGAATTCTTCATGTCCCTTTTTTTCCTCTTTCCAAATTTATTTCACTGAATTATACTCGTTAAATAACATCTCCAAACCCTAATCTTCCCGATTACTGCTTATACTCTTGCTACCTCTACCACTACGGGATTTGAATCGACCACTGCATCTCTGTGCTAATGTGGTATGGCAACTCGAACTGATGTACGTACGTACGAAGTTCTACGTTGTTACTGACTGACTGACCTTACGGCTGCGAAACGTGGCCATTAACAGTAGAAGATGCTCGTAAGTCATTAGTATCTGACCATAGATACCTTAGAAATATTGCTCGCATCTGCTGGGACCACCAAGTAAGTAATATTGAGGTTAGACGCAGGGTATTAGGGAACGATGGTAAATCAGTTGATGAGGTTGTGAATCTTCATCGAATGAGATGGTTTGGCCACGTGTTACGTATGCCTGAACACCGATTACCACGACGTGCAATCCTAACCGGCGTTAGGGATGGTTGGAAGGAAGTTAGGGGGTGCCAAACTGAAACGTGGCATCAATCAGTGAAGTTACTAACTCCTGGTCTGAGCCATGTTGGTAGATGCAGACTACTTGGTTGGGGTCTGCGTGACTATTGTAACCAATGGTTGGAGACTCTGGGTGATATGGCTTAGAATCGATCACAATGGCGTCGGTGTACACACTCTCTCTCCTCTCTTAAACTATGAGATTAAAATCGCTTCATATCTTTCTTTCTACGACTAATTCTTTCTTCCTGTACTATGTCCTTATATGCAATCTTTCTTTTATATATTACCACCACTGAATTAACTACTTCTATGAATCCGGTGTTCATTTTGTTGTGCTACTGAAGTATGACAACTTGGACCGATGTACATATGTGCCTGATTTTACGTTGTAGCTGACTGACTGATGTGCGTTTGCGAGGCGCAACATACATGGATGGTGTGAGATTCTAGATTCCTAGTTAGAAAAGTCTGTTGTTCTATTCGACACAAATTTCGAACATTAAAAGCTTTCAACTATGGAACACTTTTGGGAGGTAAAGTGTAAAACAGTTGTCGTACAGGACATTTCTACGGCCGTAACTAATACTTTGACGTAATCGGGCCTGCATATCGTAATGACGCAACCCATCTATATTGGCTGGAACATTTGTTTTTTTTATGTCCTATCATACCAAGAAAGTAAATTGACGACAGTTAAGTCTAAAAGAAGCAACTTTAGGTTCGAGTGCGAGGTCGTACTGAAAACCGTGTAGGCATATGACAGCGTTTAGGTGTTTCCCTCTGGCAACCAGCATCTGCGGCCATGCTGCCTATTCTTTCTGGAAAGTCAATAAAGGTCGACCCGAAAGATATTACAAATCACCATACCATATCCGACAGTAGGGCCTCTATAAATATTGAGCTAACATAATAAAAACTTACTATTGAAAACCTGTGTGTGACCAGTTCCAAGCATTCGTACCTCGAACTCTGTAATCACACTCACAGGCTGATAAGACAAATACTAATTTAGTTTTCAAGTTTCACAAGTAGAATTGTCTGTGACAACTTCCCTCAAACCTCTAAAAGCACACAAAATCACCATCTTCATTACTAAATATTACTTCTACTACCACTGTCAACCCTTATTTATTATCTTCGGTTACTTCGATATGTGCCACAAATACTAACGATTTGAGTTAATGGAATGATACCTTAGGTTTCCTGAAAACACGCTCATAACTACATATTATAGCTTTCAATGTGTGAACCCTATTTCAAGTCGGAAAACAGGCATCAATAGTTAAGACCCTGGAGTCTCGTGCCTTCGATGTATGCTGTCTCCAAATCATGCAGATGGGGTTCTCGCATGGTCTTTCACCTGACATCACGAGATAAGAAGTGGTAGTCGTAGCTACAGGTTAGCAGACTAAGTCAAACTGTAAAATATTTAGGTGGGTTTTACGGAGCCGCAGAGCAGGTAACAGCCGTTTTCTTAAGGCAACCGATTATCATTAGTCAGTACAAACTTTAAGCATAAAGAGAGACATTGTCTAACCGGATGAGACTCAACACCAACAAAACGATGAATGCAAATAAACCACGTCGCTATCACCCATTGTTCGAGGGGCTCAATAGAAGCCTAATGCTCTTAGTGAAGTGCATGCCTGAACTCGGATCACGCACTGCTGGGTTCATGCAGTTCTATGCATTTTATTGGGCGTCGTTCACAGACCAAATTGCGACAATAGAGGTCATCGTTGAACAATCAGTTGAGAGGAACTCGTCACTATACATCAACTTTATTGATTATGAAAAGGCATTTGACAGTGTAGAAAGGAGAACAATATGGAAACTTCTTCGACACTACAGAGTTCCTGACAAGATTGACCACATTATTCGGAACTCATACGACGGACTACAGTGCAAGGTCGTGCATGGAGGACAGCTGACAGATGCATTCCAAGTAAGGATCGGAGTGAGACAAGGTTGCCTACTCTCTTCCTTCCTCTTTCTTCTGGTGATCAACTGGATTATGAAGACCTCCACATCTGAGAGGAAACATGGCATACAATGGACAGCTCAGGACCAATTAGACGACTTGTATTTCGTAGATGACCTAGCCCTCCTGTCGCATATTCACGAACAAATGCAGATAAAGACAGTCAGTGTAGCAGCAGTCTCTGCATCAGTAGGCCTCAACATACACAAGGGGAAAACCAAGGTCCTCAAATTCAAAGCGGAAAACAGCAATCCAATCACTCTTGATGGCGAAACTCTGGAAGATGTAGAATCCTTCACATACCTGGGAAGCATCATCAATGAACAAGGAGGTTCAGATGCAGAAGTAAAGGCGAGGAATAGCAAAACAAGGTCCGTATTCCTTCAATTGAAGAACATATGAAACTCAAAACAACTTTCAACCAATATCAAAGTCAGAATCTTCAATACCAACGTCAAGGCAGTTCTATTGTATGGAGCTGAAACTTGGAGAACTACAACAACCACCATCAAGAAGGTACAAGTATCTATACTGTTATACCCTAGTGAAGATTCAATTACGGGTAATAATGGACTAATATTATATATATATATATCTTATCGTAGAACTATTCAGTACCTAGATTATATACATATATCTCTTACTATATGCTTCATTTTGACCTATAGAATATTATTATACGATTTACTGTTCTTAAATTATACTCAGTTTATTTGTTACAGCCTCCCACGGTTGCAGCCACTTTTTGGCTTGATCTTGTATAAATATTACTTCCTAATTTATGAGGTGGTGTGGTCTGTTTGGTTGGTACATAGACCAAGTATGTTTGAAATAAATGATTTGCATAGTGGAAGCTGTTATTGGCGTTCTGGACTCAACTGGATTGGCTAGGCGAACAAGGGACCAATAAGGACACTATGTTGCTCATATCGGTCGAAAGTCATTGGTTTAGCACAGTACTAAGATTGAATATGTCGTATTTCGATTGGGCAATAAATCACGTGATAATTAGCCGGGCTTAAATTCACAACAGATAGCATCGACAACAGCCTAGTGTGGGAGAGAACAAACCAGCCTCCAGCTGAAGAGTAAATTAGCAAAAGACGTTGGAAGTGGATAGGATATACACTGAGGATATTACCAAACTGGATCATGAAGCAAGCGCTAACTCGAAATCCGGAGGGGAAACGGAAAGGGGGAAAGCCGAAGAACACACTGTGTCAAGAATTGGAAGCAGATATGGAAAGCATGAATAACAACTGGAAATGATTGGCCAGAACAGAGTTGGATGGAGAGTGGTGGTGGGCAGCCTATGCTTCCCCACGAAAGTAACAGGCGTAAGTAATTCCTGACAAAGTCGAGTGACCAGTATTGACTAGATGCTCCAGGATTGAGCTTGTGACTGTCTTCTGTAATTCTTAGGAAAGCCAGGGTGGGTAACTTTCGGAGATGGGCTTCGAGGGAGTTTGCTTTGTGCGGCCAATATAACCTGCCTCAGATGAGCAAGGCAGGCTAAAATAAGTAGGGAGGTCAGGGATGAATGAGATGCATTGCGAATAATCCAGTCAATGAGGCTTTACAACTTCATCATCCAGATTACTACTTTGGATCAGTACCTTAAAACACGTTTCCAGAGTCTATAGAAGTCTTTGAGTAAGAGATAATTCCTTAGAAATTCAGGTAAAGTAAAGAATATCTCTAAAGATGAGTCCATGTAAAAAAGAAACAGAAATGGAAAAGGCGGTTGATCAAATCAGACTGATTTCAAAAGGGTACTTGCTGTGTCATCTACTCAATATCAGCAGCCTTAACAATAAGCACAAAAGTAGTTATTATTTTGACAAGACTTAATTTTCAAAATGATACAACTCCTGCATTATTTTCCCATAGCGCAGATCACGATTTACAATACTGCTGAAATAAAGATGTGTTTGTAACTATCAAATTAAAGCAGATTGTATGATCTTGATCCACTTTTTCATTATTTATGATAAGATTCGATTATAACGAGCCCCAAATAATCAAAAAACAGATTTGTTAGCAGATATGAAGACTTACTAAATCCCCATTACTTCGTTAATCAATGTATTCAAATGACTACGGTTTAACAAGTCCGCTCTGTCGATGAATTTTCTATTAAAGGCATCAGACATTCCCTTAAGCTGCCATAATTGTAAAGCAACCTGGAAAGTGAACCAGAAAAATATTAATATTTAATTACATTTACAAACGAACTTGTCAGACAAAATAAAATCGAGAAGGACATAAATTGTTTACAAAAAATGTCTAGGTTCTAAAATTTAGTGTTGATCCTATCAGGTAAATAAAATATTCCAACCAAGAAATAAGGGTGCAATACAAAGTTGAAAAAACTATATTTGAAAGAATTCTAAAACCTGAGAGTTCAAACAATCTTATACTTCTAGTATGAGAGTTTGTTTAGACTGTTGAGTGTTATTTAGATCATTGATCGACAGAAATGAGAGAACTATAGAAAACCGCAAATAATTTACCCTAGTGGGTAATAATAATCCCTGTTGCCTCTTTTAAATTGCACTGAAAAGTTGACCAACTGACATAAACTGAACGAGGTTAGCATCTTTTACGTTCTTATATGGGAATATTCAGTAACATTTTAAATGATTAGGCCTGGAATAGTTTTACCGAGATCATATTGTCATTTTCAACAGGTGGCTGATAAATTATTTCTCAGTAACTTATGATACAACTTCATTTTTATAAAATTATAGTTTCTGACAAGAAAATTTTTAATCAAGTTAATACAACTGCACACTTCAATTTCGGATTATTACTGGTAACTTCATATCATCTATGAACTGGATTTGTAAGGAAAGTCCTGTTTTCATCCATATTTTCAATTTGAACACTCAAATTCTTCCTTTTATACTTGTCACTGTAAATGCTATTTTGAAAGACAAAAAATACTTACGACATATAGTTGTGTTGATTCCCTTGATCAATATACCTATGTATTTGATACTTACCTAATTTTGCTGAAGTATCATAATCTACACAGTCTACAATCCGGTATGTTGGTTTGGTAAATAAAGTGTAGTTGCTACTCTGTCTGTGTACTTTGATCCAAATAAAAGCCAGGTAATCAATAACAACAGATTAAGTCGTTTCATATACAACTGATACGGAATAATATCTTGACTTTAATAAAGCAATAAGGAATTAGATATGACAGCCAGGTTTTAATTTCATCAGTGAGTTAGCGATCCATAATATGTATATCTCCTACTATCTTGAGCAATAAATAACATGCAATCATGTTTATTTTTTGTTACGCATGTAATATAGAAGCATTTTATTTTGGTAGGAGAAATCTGTTTTTGCCGTCCAAATATATCGCCTAATAACAGTTCATTTGAGTAATTTCATCAATAATTCGATATCATCAGAAGTTAGCTACATTGTATCACTATGTGTATCGATTAGTCAGCGTATTATTCTTTATTTAACAAACAAAGACAAGCATACTAGAGAAATTTTAGTCATTTTTTACAATAGACTTTAGTGGTCTTTCTTGACTTAAAAGCAGCATTTGACTCTGTAAACCGAGAGGTTCTGTGGCAGTGTCTGTCATAGAAATGTGTACCTCAGAAGTACATAAACCATGTGAAGGCTCTTTATTCGAACACTACCAGTCGAGTCAGAGCTTATAGTGAACTGTCATCTGATTTTGCAAGGTCAAGTGGTGTCCGGCAAGGCTGTCCACTATTTTGTTCAATTTCACCATAGACTTACTGTTATAAATAACGTTCTCGTCATCTGCACAAGAAGTCTGATTGGAATTTGTCAACTTACACAACATTTTGTATAGGTGAGATGTCTATCTACCGACTAAAGTGAGTGTACGATGGACAAGAATCAGTTCAGCTCTACTTTATGGTTGTGAGACATGGCCTGTAAAAACTGAAGACATGTAAAAGTTTCAGGTTTTTGATCATGTGTGATTTTTCAGAAACACCCGTGTTTCTTGTAATGACTGAGTGGACAGTTTTGAAGTCAGGTATAGGGTACTTGGAAAAGGTAGCAAACCGTTTGATGGAGTAGTCAATTTTCATCGACTGAGGTAGTTAGGACATGTTTAACGTATGTCTAATTGTGGCCTACCTCGACGAGCGATGCTTGTTAGTGCAGAAGTATATTAGAGGAAAGTTGCGGACGCCCAGACTGAAACGTAGAATATGTCTATGAAGTCAGTGACTGTGGGTTTAAGCCATTTGTGTAGAGATAAACTACTGGATTGAAGTCCGCGTGATAACCGCCACCAGTGGTTGGAGACTTTGGGGGGATGGTTAAGTACCGTTTATACATACATTTCCACCTTGTTTTTTTAGGTTATACTTTCACAGTTGAACCTTTCTCATTATCACTGCTACTACATTGTCTCAATATCTTTTTTATTTCCATATCATAGGGCTAATCCGGTATGAAAACTTGGACCGATGCACATCAGCAAGAGGCTCTATGTTGATGGTGTATGTTTCACTGTCCGGCAGAGCATTTTATACTTATATCACATTCTATTCTGTCCACTAAAATATGACCGAACAAATACGTAATTCCAGTGGTTGAGGTTAATAGAAAATTTAAGATAAATCCCTATCATTTGGTAATGTATGGATCATATTTTAGAGGTGCGACGTTCATCAAAGATATACTAAAAACCCGTACGATATGAGTAAAAAAATAATAAATTTTCAACAGTATATTTCACCTGCGATCTTCCACAAAAAATACATAAAAAAATTGTTTGATTAAAGAAATTTGAAACACTTCATTCTCCTTGTGTATTCTTGGTGCTCAAACTTTGGCAGTAGATTATTATAAGTTTGAAGTTTAGCCATTTAACTAGTTACAGTAACCCATACGACCTACATCAGGAATGGGTCGGTTATTCCATCGAATTAATTTCTTAAAAGGTGATTTGAATATTAAACAAAAATACATTATCGCAAACAATGTTGCACTAATAACGAGTGGAGGAGAACATTATGCTTTATAAAAATGTCAAGGACCCTTATTTCTATATGACAGTAAGATCTAGTGACTTCATATACAAAATGACTTCAGCTCATCTCACGATGTTTTTCCAAAGTACATATATTAAGAATATTAAGTTATATCAAAACATCTTTTAAGTAAAGCAAATAAATTAGATCCTTACTTGATACCAAAAAGGACTATGTTCACCATGTTTATATGCCTCATTCAACATATAAGCCATATTTTCTGATAGGTACTCGTGTAAAATTTTACAGTCTTTAGAAAGTGGAATCGGGCACATATCTAAAACAAAGCATTAATTCGAATTACTAACCATTATTATTTAGATATTGAAAACGTAAGATTTCTTACCAAACAGAAACTCATAACTTTTCAATACTAATATACATGTTCGACATTTGAATATAAAACCGATATCAAATGGATGGCAGTTAATTAGTTAGGAGAAAGATGATTGGTAACAGATACAAGTTTTGGGGACAAGCTGTATAGTTGGTGGTAAACAGGAATAACTTAAATGCTGATGAGGTCTGATATTTAAAATGTTCCGACCTACTAGCAAATGTAAAAGCGATGACTTTGCTACGTAGTTTATTTTGGTTAGTACATAAACTGTACATAACACACGACTAGTTGTGATAACAGGAAAATGATAGATAAGTATAAATGGACCGCGATCGTAAATGTTTTTAATGGTTTTTTCTACCGGAAATTTGGAACATTTATTGGGTAGAGTAATTTCTTTCCAGAACTTGGCATAAACTGTAGATGACATAATATGCTCATGGAAACAGGATCACTTAAAAAAAGATATGTCCTTTCTCTTAAGATTTCAGATATAATCTACTGACAAGAGTCCAAAAGCTTTTAGGCCTATTAATGCATTTCTAGACTACTGCATACAAATACTAAAATCATCTAGCAAAACTAACCACAGTATCAGTGGTAGTGAGATTAAAAATCTATGGCCACTTAACAGTCAGTCAGTTGGCCTGTCAACCGCAAGGTGGAACCTAGTACATATACACATAGATTCAAGTTGTTACACCATATCAGTATAATTAAGTGCTAGAGTAGTATATATATTAACAGTATTAGTGGTGATAGAAAAGATTATGAGCGGAGGATATGATTTGAGATGTGGATTGGTGAAATAAAAACGGCTCTTCTTATAATAATTAAGAAACTTAGGATTTAACGGTAGACAAAGAACAAATGAAACAATCCCAGTGAAAACCATTCCGAACCATGTCATTTAGGCCTCTAATCATTAGTTATAATAATCACACAGATCCCAACCTGAGTTTTCACTTACCTACACGGTCAAGTCCAACAGGAAGTGACATCATAGACTGACACTAGGTTTTGATTAAACTACTCCTAGCTTTTTTCCAACCTTCTTTTTACACCTATAAACATCGCACATCGAGGAAGATACTCGTTGGGCATTTGTAATACATATTTTAACAAACTCGGTAGATGAAAACACTTTACCAATCAATTCGCCATCCTCACCCATTACCTCGCATTTAACTTCATTTCTACCCACTTGGTGGTCTAAATATACGGTGGAAATGTTTCAAAAGTATTTGTGATCGAATATCAATAGTCTACGAACTTTTCATTGAAAGACCGCACAGTATACTCATCCGTTAGTTAGATGAAAGTCTCTCCTAATCCACACGTGATGCAAGTTGAGTAATCTCAACGAGGACTTTGGGATCCGTGTTGAGATTTCATAGGACACAAAACCACCATAGCTGATCAGACTTTTAAGAAAAGTGGAGGGATCAATGTGCCCGTCTAACTTACTATTAGCTTAGACGTTGATACAGACCCACCTTCAAGGGACGTTTTGTATTTAGAGAGATAGAAACACACCCCAAACGTTCTCGCTTCGATTATCGTTTGATAACAATTGCACACAGGATTGAGCTTGAAACACCTAATTATTCAAGACGACAGGTAAACTGAATGATTACTGACTTGCCGTGACATGTTTAACTACACCTATTTTTGTAGAACATCGTTTTCTTAGATAATTACTTTACAGAAATTCTTAGAAAGCTCCAACTGTTACTAAGAAATGTCACAAGAGTGGTAACTGTGATATACTACTTTGGAAAAACACAGTGGGCGGTAATAATGGTCTAGTATGGGAATTTTAGAGATAGAAATTAACTTATAATATATCTTGTTTATGTGGCAGCCCTGTTGTAATTATCTTTACTCTCTTTGTAAAATTGAGATGAACTACTTTGGCCGAAAAAAACTTTCTATTATATCAACTAAACTGCTTCACCATTGTTTAGTACTGTTATCCACTTATTTTTATTTACTTGTTCCTTAGATCATAATCTCAATTTCTTTCTACTCCCTTACAGTTTCGTCTCCTTATTGAGTGCCTCATACTTATTTTAGTGCCCATTTGTATTGAGATTTATGTTTAGGTAGAATAAGATATCTTAATGAATTTATTATTTTTTATTTATTTATTTAGCACATAAATATTGGTACAAGAGAGCGCCAATATATATGCGCCACACAAAACAATGAAAATTCGAAGAGAGAAAAAAAAAACTAAGGAGCACAAAAGAAAACGATAACAAAGAGATTGGTGAAAGGTAGTGCGGTCGTAACGATGGAACGGAAAGGTACAATCAGAAGAAATCTTTCAAGTAAGGGAGACACAACCACTTTTTATGAAGAAAGTAAAAGAAGGTTACAGCAGGATCGCCACTGGCTTCTATTCTGAGCCATATCTGATAACGTCTCTAGCCACTGTGTAGCACCATCTCTCAGACCCCAACCAGGGAGTCGTGAAGGACCGACAGAAGCCAGTCCTTTGCAGCTTTCTTTCATACCACGACACCATGTCATGCACTGACCACCTCTCCGCTTTTTCCAACTAGTCCCAGAGTCGGCAAATAATGCACGACGTGGAATCCTCTGGGACGACATTCGTAGAACATGTCCAAGCCACCGAAGTCGGTGTTTCAAGATGGTGACACCAATTGAATTATCATCTCTGTGCCCAAACACACGATGCCGAACCTCTGCATTACTAACATGGTGTTGCCACTGAATGTCAGCAATCCTTCGGAGACAGCGATGATCGAACACAGAGAGTCGTCTAACGTCCTCAACTCGGAGAGGCCAGGTTTCACAACCATAGAGCAAAACTGCTCTCACCGACGCGTTGTAGATCCGACCTTTTACAGCCAGACTAACATCACGAAGGCGCCAAAGGTGGCCCAGATTGGCATAAGCCGCTCTGGCTTTCACTATACGTGCATTGATCTCATCACTCACACCCCCACCAGCACTTATGCAGCTACCCAGATACACGAACTTCTCGACTACTTCTATCTGCTCACCATCCAGGGTGAGTACAGGATTGGAATCCTGCCAGTCTTGTAGAAGTACTTTGCACTTCGAAGGTGCAAAGCACATACCATACCTACGGACACTGACTGCCAACTGATTAAGTGCGGATTGCATGCCTTGGGCATTATCGCACAGTAAGACAATATCATCCGCATACTCAAGGTCGAGAAGTCTTTCTCCAGGCAACAGATCCACACCACCATTACTTACATTCATCAGAGCTGTTTCCAGAATGTCATCGATGGCAAAGTTGAAGAGGAATGGTGAGATTGGGCAACCCTGCCTAACCCCACTACTCGTATAGAACAATGGAGAGATATGGTTGTATGCCCTCACTCTGCCTGAGGTGTTTTTATATAGGGCTTTTAGGATGTTAATAAACTTCTCAGGCACACCCTTCTTCAATAGACAATCCCAGAGAACAGTCCTGTCCAACGAATCGAAGGCAGCCCTGATGTCAAGAAACACTACGATTGTTGGCCTTTGATAAGTATGGCGATGTTCTAACATTTGGCGGAGGGTGAAGATATGATCAATACAACCTCGACCAGAACGAAACCCAGCCTGCTCCTCGCGAGTCAATCTTTCTCGGGTTTTGAACAACCTACGAAGTATGACGGAAGCCAATAGCTTGGACGCAATCGGAAGTAGACTTATCCCCCGATAGTTGTTGCAGGAACGACGTGAACCCTTTTTAAAGATAGGGACAACTATCGACTCATTCCATGACGTTGGTACACTCTCTAATTCCCAAACCTTTGTAAACAACGTCGTCAATTCCTTAGTCAAAAAGTCACCACCATCTTTAAAAAGAGCCGGAGGTAAGTCATCTGGGCCAGGTGATTTGTAACGCTTCAAGAGTTGGAGTTCCTTGCGGACTTCCTCCTCGTTTGGTGGATCAGTCGTCACCGGCCATGGAGGGCAGGACAGTCTGACCGATGTTGCCGGAGCAGCAGGCCAGTTGAACTGCCCTTCGAAAAATTCAGCCCATCGTCCAAGACGTCGATGGATGTTAGTGATTGGCATCCCATCATCCTCGCAGATTGTTTCACTCACACCAGACTTCTTGCTGCCAGTGGCTCGGATGAGCTGGAAGAGCTTCCGGTAGTTACCAGATGCAGCTGCTGCTTCCAGCTCATTAGCACGCTCCGACCACCAGGCTTCTCGGTCCTTACGCAAGCTTTGCCCAAATTCCTTACGTAACATCCTTCGTTTATGGTCAAACTCACGGTCACCCGGAGTCGACCGACGGGCTTCAATAAGTTGTAAGGAACCAGAAGAAACCCAGTGCTTATAAGCGGGACGTTTCGCAAACCCACAACTGACTGTTCCCGCCATTTTCATGGCGTCATGCAATTGCAACCAATGCTCATCTATACTTTTCGGTGGAGTGGTAGCTAGCCTAGAAGCTAGCTCGGTTCGATACTTATTTGCAACAGAAGTTGCAACCAACTTGCTGACATCAATCCTTTGATGGTGGTCACTTCGTTGTCCACTGAAAAGTAAGGCAAGATTGGCGCAGACCAAGGCATGGTCAGAGTCCAGATAGGTACTCCAAAAGGAGCGGCAGTCTTTTACACAACCACGCCAGCGGAAGCTGATCGCGATGTGATCAATCTGAGTCCAGGCTTGGGATGCAGAGGGAGGACGCCAGGTGGCACATCGGCGATGACTGTGCCGAAAGTTAGTGCTAGCCAGAAACAGGTTGTGGTCTGTGCAAAGTTGCAGTAGACGGTCCCCGTTATCTGACCTGCGACCAACGAGTCCCCATCGGCCACCTAAACGACTCTCTTCTGTGCCTAGACGCCCGACCTGCGCATTCAAGTCTCCGGCTAGTACTACAATATCTGTCGAGCGCACTTTCTGGAGAAGAACAGACAGCTGGTGGTAAAACTCATCCTTGATTGCATCCGGGCTGCAATCTGTCGGGGCATAGGCGGAGATGACGAAAAGACATCGTTTCTCACGCCGATTTCTTCTCACTTTGATGGAACTTTCTAATCTAACAGCACATAACCGACAGTTAATGGGGATCCAATCGACTAGTGCTGCCTCAGCTCTAGCGCTTAGTGCGACACCAACGCCAGCAAGACCAGACGAAGATGCCACAGGGTCCCCGGATAAGCGCACGTAAAACAAGCTTTTCGAAGCGACAGATGGAGATCGAATTTGTAGTACTTCGCCAGAGTCTTGAATACGGGTCTCGGATAGACAACAAACATCAATATTGAGACTTTCCAAAGACATAGCCAGCCCTATCTGTTGTCCGACCTGCATAAGTGTGCGAACGTTGAAGGCAGCCAGTTTGAATGGTGCACGTGGTTTCAGAAAAACTGCTTCAGTTCTCGTATTCGGTGGTAACATACAATTTTCAACCGGACAGTGACTCGAGAACGTTTAGATACAGTCGAATTTCCACCAAAGACGAGCCGCTGTATAAGTATAAAAGAGGGTGAATAATGTGGAAGATAATAATAATAATAATAATAATAATAATAATAATAATAATAATAATAATAATAATAATAGTAATAATAATAATAATAATAATAATAATAATAATAATAATAATAATAATGATAATAATAGTAATGATAATTATTTGAATTGATTGATTGTTTATCGGATCGAGAAAGTAGTTGCCGTAGTCATAGAGTTCATTGTTTGTGTGTGGGCTGTGATACTGCCCGGGTGCCCAAACCGAAGCAGGTGGTTATCTTAGGGGGCCACACCCGAGCCTTTGACCTAATGGTCTAACCCACAAGGCAGTGGAACATCGTGAGGAGATGCAATCCCATGGTAGCCGGTGACCAACGATTGGTTCATACGCCATTTGTTCCCGCAGGATACTGGAGCCCATGTGCACCATTGGTTTGTGATCCGGTTAAAGCGCCGGACGTTCGCTTTTCGTCCTCTCATTTTCGTAAACAACACCCCCGCCACGAGAAGGCAATGAGTAGGACTTCCCTGGCAGAGGCTGTATACGCGCGGCCGTGTGAGAGTATTTCGAGAGGGAGAGCGGACTCTCCCCACTCTCGGCCGTACCAGGGCGTATATATATATAAATATATATATATATATATATATATATATATATATATTGCTATATACTAACACCAATAATAATTGGTTGAAATGAACTTACTAGTAAAAGATCGACTCAATAACACTTATTAATGACGTTACTGAAGCCAGAAGATACGCAGTGAACTGAACTGTACCCTGATAAAGCAAAACGTCAAAAACAACCTATATTTAAACTCAAAAATCTGAGTAATGAGGCTGGTCGTTTCATTTCGCAATAACAATACGGCTTAAAATACAGAGACACTAATCATACTTATTTGACAATTCTGATTCACCCCACATTTCGCGAGGTAATGTACTTTTTATATAATGTGCGAATAAATATTTTGAAGTTTACAAAAGTTAGATTCTTCAAACTTCGTTAAACACAAGCACCAAGTGGAAATACAGACTCAAGGTCATTAACTTAAGGGTGAGTGGCGAAAATATATAATGCTTCTCTCACGAAAAAAGAAAAGTCATAAGTTTGCTCTAGATTGTTCCGTAGGATAATTTTGAACTTCATTTTCAAAATAATACGTATACTCGTTAAAGTCAAGATACGTTACAGAAAGTCCACTTAAACTTTATTAAAGACAAAACACCTCAGCGCTGTTGAAACATACCTTTGACAGTGTTTATCCAATGGGAGACAGTCAAACTGAGTGTGAGATTAGTTTCCAAAAACCCAGCCCAGTAAGCTTGTAGATAGTCAGGAAAGCTAAACGACGTCGCCACCGTAAGTGACGACCAACTTGGGATTTTAGGCGTGATAAAAACACAGAATTACCCAGTGGTGTTTATTTTTTCTTCAAAAGCAGCTATCGCCACCATATTCGGGTTTTTAAAAGTTTCATTTTCTACTGTAACTCGGATAATTATCATTATATGTTTGACTACCTACAGATCACATAATGAAAAATAAGATGTGGTTTGTTCTTTGTTGCTGAAATAAGGGCTATAGATGGGCGTCCCCCATATATCTCAACGAGCACAAACGAAAAAGTGATAACAACTCCAAAGTACATCTTGACGCCGTACCGTTTGATTGAGTTGAAGGTCATATCACCGAAAAAACAAAACATACTAGTCCCCGAGATAAACATGAAGTGTTTACAATTCCGAAAGATGCCTTCCATTTAGCTGTTATTTTCCATCAGTTGTTTTAACTTATTTTGTAGACATACTGATAGATAGTTTGAGAACTGTAGTTCCCACCAGATTTTTTTTTCTTTGCCTTAAAGTAATAAAATCTGTGATAATATTTAATTCAGTCTAAAATATATGGTATTTTGTAAAACGTGGAATAGTTTTCAATTTGACGATGACACTTAACTGGTTTAAATATGTTAGGGTTTATAGTATAGCTCTAACGGGTTCTGGAACATCGACCCCAATACTCTTAATTAAACAATTTTTCGAAAAGTATTTTATTGGGAGCATAAAAATGAAACCAACACAGCCAAAGAATATTTTCTGACTATCATCCTTCTACTGGAAAAGTAATTAAAAGTATATTTATGATACTTCACTTTGTATTTTATTAGTCGTACCCAATATTTACGGTCCTAAATGACTAAAATTGAGTGTGTTTTAATGCAGGATGCTAAATGATTCTGTTATTGTGTAGACCTCTGGAATAATGTGATGATAAGAAGCATTTGAATTACAATACGAACTAAGAATCTCAGAAATAACGTAATCGGCTCAAGAAGTACTAGATAGGCACAAACGAATGTACTGGTTGTAGAATTAGAAATCAAACATTCAACAAGTAGAAAGAAATTATTGGTTCATTCAAACACCACACCCGTTACATCTTAAACTGGGGTCTAAGTGTCTGTAATTGATTGTACGTCTTTTTAAGTTCATCCTGTGTCTGTCCGACAGTGTATTGGATAAAAACTTCGTTTTATCTACAATGTACTCATTAGTATTGCAATTAACAACCAAAATCAGAACAGACTCAGCTACTTCCTGGGATTGTGTAATCAGCATGTCGGTTGAGTACTGTGATCACTGCTACCTAGAATTCCAACCGTAGACTTTTAGACTATCCTCCCCCACAAAATAATGTCGGATGTTCATATCCCCAAGTTATGACTGCTGTGGCTTCATTTAAAACATAGTTCTCACATTGATTAGAGTAAGTATCATAAGTGACATCGTGATAAGGATAAACAGCAGTTAATGTGAAATCATCCGAATAGTAATTAAAATCGAGCTCATTTAGTACTTGTGCTTCGCATTGAACAAGTTTCCCACAAGAAACAAATGCATTATGAGGACAAATAATAATTGATATGACATCAAGCTTTGACTCTTCTGAAATACTTTTCTCAAATTTATTAAGAATGTGATTGCAGAGTAAAGGATCATTAGAAAAATCAGCATTTATCAAAACTACATCAGGATTTTGATCATGACTAGGTTCATTCGACATATTTTCCTCAGATTTGCAAGGAATTTCTTCAAAAATAAGTGAATCATTAGAAAAACAACATCTGGTACAATAACATGTGAAATCTGATAAGTTGATTGGTTAGAAACGGTTGTCTCGCAAGGATTCTGAGTTTCATTTAACTCTGAACTGCTATATGACTCTACACTCTCTTTTAAAATCGTTGATAAAGATAAATGATCATTATAAATATGCAACTTAATAGAATCAGAATTACAAGACTTAATATTAGTTGCAGCAAGACGAACAGTAGCATTACAAATGGACTGTATATGTCTGATATCACCACATTTAAAGCATTTAGAATTACGAAATTACGAAATGCGTTGTGTCTACTGTGATAGGAAAAATAGTAAGACCACTAGTAAAGACGGCCTGCTTGAATATTTAGGCTACCTGTTCCTGCTATCTAGATATTCCAACAAGTTATCTTTTTCCTCGTTTGTTTTAACACATCATCATATAGATCATTTGCATAGCCTATATCAGGTGAGTTTGTGTATAGTTTACGAATGCAGCGATAAATAAATCCCAAAAATAAATAGCTCCATAAGTTTTCGATATTGGAAGCTGAAAACACTTGTTTTAATGGACTCACCTAGCTGAAGGCATTTGGCCATGCATCCGCACCAGATCACGAGTGGGAACGCCGTGCTCAACAAACTCTGCAATCGCTAACCAGATTAGTTCAGACGATCCTCGATATATTGATAGCCTATCAAATATACCTTCAAACCTCCTCGCTTCTGTCTTTTAATTTCACTTGGTGGATACGATTCATATTAGAAGGCGTCACTGGTCAAAGCGTGGTAAAACTTCGAATACCTGTGGCATTTTCGCGAAGAAGATCCACATCAGTGAAACAAGTGTAAAACATTAACCTGGCAATAAAAATAAAGTTGTATATAAGTCTTGCATATTAACTGATCTACCAAAACAGTTAAACAGACTACCTAATAGTTAATTTATGATTGATTCATTGAATAAGTACAGGGTTGACCAAGAATATTAATTTGAAAATCCTCCAAGGTTGATATGCAGAACCTTAAATAATTAATTCACATTTGAACTGGAGCTCTTGATAACATTTCTCGTAAGTTGCAGTCGCTCTATACTGTACTTTATTATAGCCTCTTGTTCTCCTCCTCCATAATTACAGTCAACCATCACTGTGGCACCTTGACCTTTTTCCTTGATTTTCGAGTACTTACATAGATGTGCTAACAACTTTAAATATCTTGCTCCTTTGGTGAGGTGCCAAACACTTTGAATGATGTTGGTAAAACAACAAACATGAAAGTGTTCTACAACGGTAGAAAGCTGCATTCGTTGCAGTCCAATATACACTACTTCTACTATTACTCATGCTGCTAGAGTAATAGATTTAATTCGGTATTGTGTACTTGTTATGAAATGACTGCCTAACCTATATGTTCTTTCGTCGATGTAACATCGCTACCTATACTGACTCTCACTATTGTGACGGTCAGCGGTATTATTTGCAAAAAATATTCAAACATCACGATCAGTTTGTTGATATAGGAGTATACTCAATACAAAGGAGATATGTTTACAGACTGGTCACGTCAACACGTACGAGCCACGCAGTGTTAATTAACTGTTATTGCTTACACAATGATTTGCCTTCTCTAGGTGTTTAACGGCCAATGTTAATCTTATTGTTTATTGAAATTCTAAGATCGTGTTGTTGGGACTCAGTGTTAATCCACAGCCACTAAAAACCTATTTCATTGGTAAAAATTGACGAAAGTCAAAAGCTGTGGAGACTGTCGTCTTTCAAACACCACTAACCCAATGCTGAAAGTTTGCTATCTCGACAATATTATGGTAAACATCATTGTCTTTCTTGCAAAGTAGACTGATCGTTAAAAATGCTCGCATATAGCCTACAAGCAGCTAGTGGTTGACTACATCTGAAAAATGATGTTTGTTTGAGCATGGACTTACGGAAACGCGTACAGGATTTGCTTAACTTCTTCATTGTATCTTATGGAAGGTCACAAATTACTTGTTGATCCAGGTAAGAGAAAGTTGCTAGATAAAAACACTAAATTAGCTAATTGTGGTATAAAATTTTATGGCTATATTTATTGGACAGTCAGATACGGTCTACTCTCTACTTCAGCAGTGATCCACAAGTATCGTGTGCTCAGCGAATAAATGTCAAATTAATTTTTTTGGCCGGGATCGTCACACGTCACGCCAGAATTTCAGGCAGGCTTGTACTGTTGGGCTTACTCCAACTAGCTTTGAGGAAACTAACCATGCCAAGAAAATAATATACAAAACGTTATATTCAAGAAAAAATCGTCCATCAAATGCATGTAAGCATTTCTGTCTTACATGTTATTTAAAATGGACTGCAACATTAAATGTCTTACAGATGAAAATGAATGACCCGAATCATTATCTTGCATAGATTACGAGGCGGCTACCTCAAAAATCATCATCATCATTACTGAAACGAACTTAAGAAAATCTCCCGATCAACTGTCTACAACAGCAAGAATATTTCTAACAACCATATCACGGATATTTTCAACTTTTTAAATTGTTGTGCACTATATTGATGCCGCTGAATGCTTCCTTTGAATACCAGGTATTTATTAACGGTAACATACGATATCTTAATTTTATGTTATCTTTATATAGGTGAAGCAGTCGATGCGTCTAACTACTTTCCTACCTTTCACTGATTCAGGCGGTGATGCAGGCCAATCTTGAAGTGGTATTTTACATTTGGAGGTAGAGAACTGAGTCCCAAAAATTTACTGTTGTTTAAAATGGTCAGAAAACTACATCCTGCCAGTGTCTTAACCAAACAGAACTACATCATCTGTGTATCCTAAATTAACAAGTAAGTCTCCCGAAAAGTCAGACAATGAAGGCGCTATCCCCAAACGCATGTGTACGATAAGGTGAAGTGAAAGTGAAGAAAGCAGACAACCCTAACGATAACCACTTGAGGTAACGATTCCGATGACAATTCGCCCTAAGCTCTGACTCGACCAGTAGTATTCGAGTAGGGAGCATATACAAGATTTGTTTACTTATTTCGGTACGCCTTTCAATGACAGACAGTACCATGTAAACTCACGATCCACAAAGTAGAATGCTGTTTTATGATCAAGGTACATAACTGTAGTCGGACGTCGAAAAGTGTGTCTATGTCCTGTAGACGGGTGAATATTTAGTTTCCACGTTGACGTTCAGGTGCGAAACCAGTCTGCTCTTTGGTTTGCTCTCCACGAGCTCTAGTTGAAACCTGAAGTATTATTCAGGTCAATATTTTAGACACTACATTAGTTAAATTATTATTCTGTGGTTTTTAGAAGTTTTTTTCTCTCTTGTAGACCGAGACAAACAGTGGTCAAGACCCATCAGATGAGCTTACGTTCAGCTGCACGATGTTGATGCACCTAGACAACAGCACAATTCAGTTTAAACAATGTCCATCAGGAGTGTTTGCATGATTAATGTTCAACTTGAGATCCCTAGGGTGCTGGACGAACATCACATGTTGATAGCAGAGCTGGTTAACATAGCTTTGGAGTTCAGTGCTCCGGTGGACTCGATATGTCAAGAGCAGGAGAGGCACAGATCGTGACAATAAAGAAAGCGGCAAGATGAGCAGAAAGACCGCAAGTACGACATTTT